ACACACACACACACACACACACATAGACACGTTTGTTCTTCTATCCTCATGGGGACTTTGCATTGACTCTTTCATTTACCAGTATTTTCTATTACCATTTGACCCTAAACCTAGCCTACACTTTACATGGGAAGTGAACTGGGCTTATGTCCCCATAAGAAACAGTGGGTCCTCACCAGGCTGTGTAGTTTGCTTCATCTCTAAAGAGATGCTCTTTAATATTGTTTATTTACTGTTGTGCATGGTTTTTAATTTACATTTTGTTGTTCTTTGTTTATTATTTTCAATTAATCGCCCAGCAAAATTTGTTATCGTGACAGGCCTATTCGGGGGCCACAGTTACTGCAGGTCAACAGCTCAGGGGCCTAAACATCCAGCAATTAAAGTTATGTAAATAAGCCAAGTATTACAAAGATCTGTTATCTTTGAAATAGTTTATTTTGCTGTATTTAATCATGAACAACATACAGAACCCTATAAAAGTAGTGATAATTAAATAATATCATCAAGCAGCGGGTCCTGACAACATCCCAGGATGAGTTCTGATGGACTGTACTGAACAGCTTTCTGATGTGCTTACGGACATCTTGAACACCTCTCTCTCACAGGCAGCTGTTCCCACCTGCCTTAAGACTGCCACCATTATCCCCATCCCAAAAACCAACACAATCACAAGTCTAAATGACTATCAGCCAGTAGCTCTGACCCCAATAGTCATGAAGTGCTTTGAAAGACTGATCATGGCTCACATTAAAGATTCCATCAGCATCACTGTCGACCCACACCAATACGCCTACAGGAAGAACCGGTCCACTGAGGATGCCATCTCCTCTGTGGTTCACACGACTCTCACCCACCTGGAGAACAGAGATTCTTATGTGCCCCCCTCCCCTGCACATTGGAGGATCTGCAATGGAGGCGGTCTCCAGCTACAGATACCTGGGGCGGGGGGGTTGGCTTTGGCTTTCATTTTTCTGCTACAACACTGTTAAACCAAACCTGCTGCTACTGTTGTACTGTTGTATTATTTTGCACACTCTGTTGTAACTGTCGATGCTTGTTTGTATAAATATTTTAATTTAAATGTACTATTTTTCACTTTACCGTTCACACTGAACACCAGGACCTGTGCAACCAGTTTCGTTACCTTATGAGCATCTGATGTTTGTGTTTGAGGGAATGACAAATAAATATCCTTGAATCCTTCCTTGAATCCATATTATGCCTCTTTAACACAAATATTATTTTGACATCGCTGACTTGCCAAAAATTCTCGGCGGGCCGAACTTTGGTCATTTGCAGGCCGCCAGTTAAATAGCCCTGGACTAGATTATTGATGGTCTGAATGGAGTATCAATGGTGTGACTGGATTATTGTCTGTCTAACTAGGTTATCGATGGTCCAACTGGTTTATTGATAGTCTGACTAGATTTATTGATGGTTCAACTGGTTTATTGATGGTCCAACTGGTTTATTGATGGTCCAACTGGTTTATTTATAGTCAGACAAGATTTATTGATGGTTTGGTTTATTGATGTTTTAACTGGTTTAATGATGGTTCAACTGGTTGATGGTCTGACTGGATTATTGATGGTCTGCCTGGATTAATGTCTGTCTAACTAGGTTATTTATGGTTCAACTGGTTTGTTGATTGCCCAACTGGTTTATTGATGGTCCAACTGGGTTATCAATGGTCCAACTGGTTTATTGATTGTCTGACTAGATTTATTGATGGTCTAACTGGTTTTATTGATGATCCAACTGGTTTGTTGGTGGTTCAACTGGTATGTTGGTGGTTCAACTGGTTTGTTGGTGGTTTAACTGGTTTGTTGATGGTTTAACTGGTTTGTCAATGGTTCAACTGGTTTGTCGATGGTTCAACTGGTTTGTCGATGGTTCAACTGGTTTGTCGATGGTTCAACTGGTTTTATTGATGGTCTGACTGGATTATCGTCTGTCTAACTGGGTTATCAATAGTCCAACTGGTTTATTGATGATCGGACTAGATTTATTGATGGTTCAACTGGTTTTATTGATGGTCCAACTGGTTTGTTGATGGTCTAACTAGTTTGCTGTCAGTCTAACTGGTATCTCTGTTCCAGGTGGTTTGTTCTTGATGCAGAGACCACAGATCTGGTGGGGATCCATACAGATGGGAATGAGCAGCTTTCAGTGATGCGTTTTTCTGTTGGTGGGTGAAGCTTTGCATGTAAACTTCAGAATGCTTCTGACAACAGTTACTAGCATTTCATTCTGTGTTCCTCTGCAGATGGCATCATGCTAGCTGTTGGATCTCATGATAATTTCATTTACCTATACACTGTCTCAGACCGAGGACGCAAGTACAGCAGATATGGGAAGTGCACGGTGAGTTTTTAAAGTTACAAATTGAGTCCTAACTTTATAGTTGGATTGGTACTGTTAAAAAATAAACAAACACATATGTATAAATGTGTGGGGCATCTTTTGGACTTAAGGGGACTGGTTTCTTACATCTAATGCACTAACATACATCGCATCTTTACTGAACATGGTAATCAAGCGATCTAGGCTGGAAAATGAACATTTTCTGTCTATATAAAAGAGTACAACCATCTTGAACCAGGCTAGGCCCAAAGGTTGATAAGTTGTAGATGTCAACCAAATGATTATTTTCTAAAATCTTAATAAAAATCCATGTGAGTTATTTTGGTATCTCTTCTGAAAAACGTGCAGACAAGAGTAGAAACATAAAATCAATTCTCCTTCAGGCACAGATGACCATTAATAAACAATAATTAGCTAAAGAATTTCTGTTTTTTTATTTTATTCTTTAATTGTTCCTCACAAAGAAATAACCAGTTTCATTCAGATCATGCTTGTACATGAGTCTGACTTTGAAACGGGAACAGAATAAAGAGATGCCTGCTGTGTGACACTGGTCCAACACACAGTGACAGTGAAAGGAGATACAGTGGTTTGCAAAAGTATTCATACCCCTTGAACTTTTCCATATTTTGTCACATTACAACCACAAACATAAATAT